TAGTTACAGTGGAAAATATTTTGTAAAAATTTACAAAAATTTACAAAATTTATAAAAATTGTAAAAAATTTACTATAAAGGGCAATAACTCCTTAAGGGGTCAATTGACAATTTTGGTAATGTTGACTTATTTGTAGATCTTACTTTGCTGTACATTATTGCTGTTCACAGTTTATCTCTATCTATTATCATATTCAAGATAACCAAAAGCTGCAAAATTTTCTTAAAATTACCAGTTCAGGGGCAGCAACCCAACAACGTGTTGCCTGATTGGTCTGAAAATTTCAGGGCAGATAGATCTTGACCTAATGAACAATTTTACCCCCATATCAGATTTGCTCTAAATGCTTTGGTTTCAGAGATATAAGCCAAAATCTACATTTTACCCCTATGTTCTATTTTTAGCCATGGCAGCCATCTTGGTTGGTTGGCCGGGTCATTAGATACCCCAATGATGATTTGGCCCAGTAGTTTCAGAGGAGAAGATTTTTGTAAAAGTTTACGAACGACGGACGCAGGACGATGGACGCAGGACGACGGACGCCAAGTGATGAGGAAAGCCAGGTGAGCTAAAAATAAACTGCTTCGCCGAGCGCAGCTAGATACAACCGCAGAGGACCAAGCATGAACAGTTGGGGCAAAAATGGACACAATATTCAAGCTTGAATTTGGATTGCAATTAAATATTTGACACATTATAGGTTTCTGACACAGAATAAATGTGTCAAAGAACTTGAAATTGGTTGTATGATTTGAATTTATATTCAATTGAAGATTTCTTGCTGTTGTGCAATACACTGTGCTGTTGCGCAATACTTAGTAAATCTGTTTTCAGACTTTATACAAAGAATTAGCAAAATAATTGTGACCCCCAATTTTTTTCTTTGGAAAATTGACAAATTCTTATATCTTCAGGAAAAAAAAATTGACCCCCCCCCCCTCACCCCCAAAAAAAAATCCCCCCTCCAAAAAAAATATTTGAAGAGAATTTTCTTTTGAGGAAAAAATTGCCCCCCCTCCCCCCTTTCCAAAAACATTAATTTTGAAGAAATTTTCTTTTTGTAAAATGTGGTACAAATTAAGAGACATCCATACACTTGAACACAAGTTATTGTCTGAAAACCAGAAAAATGCGTTTTAGACCCTTTTTTGCCCCCAATTCCTTAACGTTTTGGGCAATTACCCCCAAAATGAATCCCAACCTTCTACTTGTGGTATTGAACCTTTTGATTAAATTTCATAGAGATCCATACACTTAAATTAAAGTTGTTGTCCGGAAACCAAATGTCTTTGGACGACACTGACGACGTGATACCAATATGACCGCAAACATTTTTTGCGGTCATATAAAAACAAGCAGCAATCAGCAACTCACCGTACTAAAAACTTATGCTATGGAAGAATTAGCAGTCTCTGTTCCACTAGTGACAACTGTCATATGAAATCTTAAAGTAATGATGACTGATATCTGAGCATTTTCCTGTACATTTCTGATGTCACAATGCATGTTATTACTTGGAAGTAAGAGTTGATTGATCAATGACGTCATTTACGCCAACTAATGTCAGATCAAATGGTGAAATTCATTATCATTACCATTAATGGCATTATGTTTAAATTACATGATGGTTTACATAAGAACACTTGATAAATCATGACTATAGCTGAAAAACTCCCTCAATATTGATGAGAACCATTGATGAGAACCTCCAAAAATGTTTGTTCCTCCTCTTAATACCAGACTTCAAACAGGGAATTTCAATCTCACACTTTGAAGAAAACAACTTTCCAATTTCTCCCTCATTCACTATTATTTCATTATAAGTAGTTATTTTCCATGTAAAAATGACCATTTATTATTAAAACATTGTGTATTTACACAATATAGAGTGTCTGAGCCAAAGGATATGTTAATCTAGCTGATTGAGTACTGATTGTAATTTTTAAAGCATTTAAATTCAACAGCAAAATATGACAAAATATTATGATAACAATGTGAAATAGATTCGAATACAAATATTGCCTTATAAAGTTTCCCTCAGAATGAGTTGTTACACTTTGCAGATTTGAACAGACATGTTATTAATTATAAAACTTTTAATGAATGAAGTTTCATATCTCTGGAATGACAAATTCAAAAATCTCATAAATCAAAAGGATAGTTTGCCTACATATGTACAAATTTTATAAAAACAAGATTGCTATTCGAAAGTGAAATGTTGCCTGCAGCTTATAATACATTATAATATTCTAAAGAGCAGACAGCAAAACAACTGATTCACACAATGTACATTTTGTAATTATCCCCTTATTGTAATGTTGCAACTCCCCTGGAAATGTGGTCATTGACCTGATAATTTAGGGACTGTTCAAATTTTGGCATTGATTATACTATATTTTCTTGTTAAGTTAAACTGAGTGGTAATTAAATTGTCTCAGAATGTCTCACTATCCTACAATAGGCTAAAAAAGAGCAAACTCAAACAACTCCCTCATATTTTCAAATCAAAATGTTGGCAAATTGACGTCAACTTCACATGATCACAAACAATCTCATTTACTATGTAGTCTTTCAGGGAAATAGTCTCAGAGAAGTAATATTCAAAGGGTACTATTCTGTTACAAAAGGCTAAAACATGGTCAAAGTTCCATAACTCATAAAATTTTATAAAAATTAAATGGCAGTTACTAGAGCACAAATATTTGCAGTAGATTTTCCATATGGTACCAATGGTGTCTAAAAATTTATTTCTTGAAAAATAGAAAAAAATGGGTAACAGTTCCTGCTCCTAGAAATGTCAGCATTTTATACAACAACAAAAAAAGTATTTGTTCATGTGACAAAAGTTATCCTAAAATGAAGTTGTAATGGAAGCTTCCAATTTTTGCACTTAATGGAAAAGACAAATTTTTAATGACTCCTGATCTATTACAATGAATAAGTTTTCTACATTTGTAAACTATGAATTTAATTATCAAGAATATTTCTAAATGGATAAGTTTTCAAATCAAAAATAATTCCAACACTGTGTCATCCTATCAGTATTCCCACACTATTTTATTCCATGGTACCATCTTGGTGTCAAAAAGTGCCAATAAAATGTAAACAAATAAGTGTGCTATTGTAAACATCTAAACATCAGGAAAAACATTTTAACCTTGGATGAAAGTTTTCAGACAAACACAATCAGTATTCGTGGGTGTCATTATAATGTTACAATAGGCCATAAATTGGTCAAAGTTCCATTTCTCTCACAAAAATTGATAAATCAGAATGACCATATAGTATGGTCAACTACACATAATGAAGTATCTTACAATGAATGACAGCTTTTATACATGTGGTCTCAGGGAAGAAGTGTTCACAAGGTATCATTATAGAATAAAGGGTCAATAATGGTCAAAGCCTTAGAACTTCTGCAAAAATTGTCAAATTAAAAAATGTGATTGGGAATAGTCAACAACTTAAGATGATAAACAATCCTTTCAAGTATAAAGCTTTTAGGCAAACCCTCTCAGAAAAGCAGTGTTCACAAAGTATTACAACAGACTTACTCACTAACAGACAGACAAATATTTTTACAATTATAAGCAAACTGGAGTTAAAATGGCTTCTGTAATTGTTGAATTTTAAAGTATCAGAATGAAAAACCTTAAAAACATGAAAATCAAAACAGAGATTGTCTTTTTAGAGCCAATCATTGTGTGAAATTTTTATATAGATAAAAAACACATTTCTTCTGCAAGCCTGGAATAGTTAATATTTTATTATTGTCCCAAACCTAAGATGACATCCGAAAAAAAAATATCAAAGGATAACCTGGTCAATTTTTTTTGTTGAAATTAGGCTTTGAACTAGCTTTTAGTAACTATGCATAATCTAAGGTCAGTACTTCTTTTTTGTATATTTAATACAGATCTGATTATTCTAGTCCCTTTCCAACTCATTTTTACAGTTTGTTCTATTGTTATACTGTAACACAACTGTCCCAGGTAAGATGGAAGGTTGAGTGCTTTACAACCATGTAAAATTTACCCAGCCACATTCATTATGTGCCTGTCCCAAGCCAGGAGCCTGAATGGTGGTTGTCTGTCATAACAGATTTCAATTATTGCTTTGAGCATGCCAGTAAAACAATTTCTTTTTTGAATTATTTCACATTTTGGCATGCTAAGGCCTTTTATAGCTTACTACAAACATGTATGTGAAATAGTGTATTTTTGAATGTTTACACCTGTTTCCATGGTCATCAAAATGTAATGTTAGTCTTACAATTTAATAAATTTCCTCTGCTATTAACCTACCTATGCACAAATTAGTGAGGATATAACAAATGAAAGTTTTTGAAGACTAATAGCCATAAACCAGTGAATTTGAATATGTGCGAATAACTTTCGATCTTGAAAGAGTACTGTAAATTCAGAAATTATTGCGTGCATTTATTATTGCGATTTGGTCAATTTAGACCAAAATGCGATTATTATTTTTGAGATACTGAGAAAAATCCCCCTTCAATCATATAAAAAAAATCCAAAATGCGAGTTTGAATTATTGCAATTACAACCCTGTCACATTTTTCGCAATAATAAAAACCTTGCAATAATTTCCGAATTTACAGTATCCTAAAAAATTACATTGTTAAAATTTCCACTGCAATAAAAACTAAGAGTTTACAATTTTACAGCATTCCCCTACCCCTCTCCCTGTATGTATAGATATGGCAAGGTCCACATTTGGTTATAAGAAACCCCATAAAACATATGAATCAAATAATAAAACAGAAAATGGTAATGCCATTGGGCACTGATGATATTTTGACAGCTTAATAAAAATCCATAAAGTGGTTTATGATGCATTGTTGATGAACCGAAATTTTCTGCTTTCCACATTTTGCTGTAAAATGCAGAGCCCAATCCAGCTGGGGCACTATGACCCCATAATTGACCTATACTGTCACAAATCTGAGCAGAAGTATAACAATTAGAAGAAAACACAAATATAAAAAGATTAATAGATTTGACAATCTTGTTATTCACATGACTGTTGAAGGAATTAATTTAACAATAAGAAAGGAAAATGTACATCACAATCTCTCAATGAATAAATTTGTTCAACATATAAAGATTTAAATAGTTCTCATTGTCGTCCTATTTTTCTGATACAAAAAATAAGTGTAAAAATCAAAAAATTGTTGTCAAAGTCAACCTTGGGAATTAGGATCGCACTGCAAAAGTCGCACAATTGAAGGATCACTTTTTGCCCCTTCAATAAATTCTGCCAAGGATAATTGTCCATCTGCATTTTTATCCATTTGACGGAATATTTTGTCTGTTCGTTTTTCAGGTGTAGATTCGTCTTCTGGCATTTTCATCACAGTCCCAACCATCTTGTAAATTGCCTGAAAAAGATGCAGGAAAATCAATTACTCTACAAAGTACTTTAATATAACTAAGTTATATGGTTTGCTGTACATATATCTTAATTCAGTACCAAAACCTACATATAGACAATTAACACCTCCTACACAATAGAAATTGTTGACTATTTATTGTCCATTATTTTCCATTATTGTAAATGCTTCCCTTTAACAGACAGAAGATACCTAATGTCCTGTTATAAAGATGTTCCCGATATATACTACTCAAATAAAGCTTACTCTCATATTTACCATTTAGGGGAAACAATGTAAATGGATTTAGTTGGAGGAAAATGTGCTGACCAATTAAATTAGCACCTAAAACTTAACATGGATGCAAAGTAGATAGTTTTTTATCCTAAATCTTTAGAGGTCCTACATGGGGTTTCTTTTAAGGTCACTACCAAATTTTGGGAGGTCTTACATGGGGTTTCTTTAAAGTTCATTACCATATCTTGGGAGGTCCTACATTGGGTTTCTTTAATGGTCATTACCATATCTTGGGAGGTCTTACATGGGGTTTCTTTAAAGGTCATTACCATATCTTGGGAGGTCCTACATGGGGTTTCTTTTTAAGTCATTACCATATCTTGGGAGGTCCTACATGGGGTTTCTTTTTAAGTCATTACCATGCCTATTACTTACAATAAACAGATTACAAACCAAGTTATGAGATAACAATGTTCAAAATTGACACTTTCCATTAAGTTTCTAGTACAAATCTATTTAAAGAAGAATGTTTTTTATAACATGAAAACCATGACAAAAAAGTGTAGATTTCAACTTTACATCATCCATATTGATGTGTTAAATAATTAGTATGAAAGTAAATAGAGGTTTCAAGGTGTCTGTGTGGATCATCTGCCCTTCTATGCATCAACATAAATTACTATTTGTTTGACAATATTTCATTCAATCATACATGTATGTGGGTTTAGAAGTATAAATTTGTAAAACTTGTACACCTAACAATCATTCCATAACCAAATATGCTTGACCTATTGCTTATAGTAACTGATAAACAGACTAAAACACAAAAACTTAACATTGACCAATAAACCATGAAAATGAGGTCAAGGTCAGATTGAACCTGCTAGATGGACATGTGCACCTTTCTATCATTCCATACACCAAATAAAGTTGACCCACTGCTTAAAGTATCTGAGAGATATATCACGAAAACTAAACTTTGATCACTGATCCATGAAATGGAGTTGAGGTCAAGTGAACCGTCTGTCAGACATGAAGACATTGCAAAAGATCTACAATTCATCCTTTAATCATTTTGACCCAAGTTTTCATATGGTTATAGTCCATAAAGGTCAGTGCAAAATAACTGGGAAGTACTTCTGTATTAAATGGAAAGTCAATCATGATAAAAACAAAGAATAAATTATACTTTTTACCACATTCTGAAAAATAAAATAAAAAGAGAATCTTCCTGTCACATAATTTTTTGGAGACAGATGAATGAGATTTATCTTTTTTACAGTTTAACTGTTAATTTGTCCGGTCTACATGTGCAATGACAATATAATGCTGTTAAGCATCAGCTAAACTAAGTTGTGTCTAACATAAACATCCACATTTTTCAAATACAGCAAATGTTGTTTTTTACCAGCCTCCTAGAATTATATTTGGCCTCAGACATAAATATTCTCTTTAATTCTTTTCCTTTGGGATATGTTAATTGTTTATAAATTCTTTGTTCTGAGATAGCTGGAATTGATTTTTTTGTTGATCATGCAATCCTGTCATAACTTTGATTTGTTCAATCTACATTGACAAATATCATGTTACAAAGCCAGTTTGTCTTATTTAAATGGATCTCAACATACATGTACAAAAAAATATCACATTTGAAATTTTGAACTGGAACAAGTACAATGCATATACATATATAGACTCCACTTTTCTCCATGAATAATTTACTGTAAAAGACATAAAATATAGCTGAAGTTCAATCACTTGGACCATGTGAGTGACCACAAAACTTTTGAATGAGGCCATTTCCAGCAGAACTGATTATAAATCAATAGATCTAATCAATAACAAAATCCAAGTTTTCACTGTATATGTTTGTAAAGCAGATATGGTCTAATCAGAATTGTTTTGCACTCGAAATTGATTACAGGTAAACAATATACATATATAGGTGCTAGTATTTCATTTTCTAGGTGTCCTTTGAAGAGCACAAATCCAAATAACATTTTTGATAATAGATTTAATTTGACAAATCTCTGGCATAGAATATTTTTTCTATCTTGAATTTCTGTTTTGAAAGTATATGAACAGAGAATAATAGGACTGTACAGTCTTCTTGTCCTTTTGTCTCAGGTAGATTTATACTGTAAATTCAGAAAGTTTTACTATGTTCTTTTTATTGCGAAAATTGAGACAGAATCAGTCAAAGTCCATTCATCATAATAGAAACACCTCATATCACAGTGGAGAGATATATTTGTTGTGTGTTTTTCACTTTGGGGCCCATTAGGGATATTAACACAGTTCTGAATATAAAATACAGAAAGGCATTTTTCAAAGGAATTCAGAGCAAAACACCACATAAAAAATGTCGCTCTTAGTCTTTCCTTGTCCTTTTTTCCAGAAAAGGTGTGAGCCAATAATTGTATAACCAGCAATGTGTTTAAATGTGGAAGGATCAGTGAACTTTAAACTATACTTAAAGTAACTGTAAAAGAATACAGACTCTACCAATAGGACTACTATAATGGAAAACAGCAATGACATATGTCCTTATATTCCTCCATAGATCTGCAGTATTTCAATCAAAGGACCTAATGACTTTGTTACAATTTGTACCAATTTTGATATCTGCTTAAACGATTTTTAGGAAAATTCTAATTTCATACATACTAAAATAACATATATTTGTTTTCAAGTTTTTTTTGGATTTTGTGTCTAAATGCAATCAATATTCTGACACATTTATGGTATTTGTAGAAAAACATTATACTTTAACTAAATGTTAACTATCAATAATTCACTGGACTATAATTGGAAATTTTTTATATTATATGCATGAATATTTAATATCCGACATTTGAATAGAAGCAAATAATAGATAATTAAGCTAATAGTACAACCAGTCATTAATAATACATTGCTTTTTTCAGTGCGATTGAATCTTCATCTCAAACAATACCTAAACTTAACATCAACAATGAGCAGCCAGACAAGCTGAAGGACTCCTCATATTTGGTATGAAATCAATTAAAACTATATATATGTGAATAACATCTATCTCTGGAGAATAGATGTATTTATACTTTTGGGTATTTAGCTGAATTTGCTCCTAATGACCCTAGATCTGTCTCTGAATAACCTTCTGGCATCATAAAACAATCCTTTTTAATTATGACTTCAAATGTTTTAAATTGGGTCACAAAATTTTACAGGAACTTGTTGACTCTAAGTAATTATAAATGGTGGACAAATTTAAATATTTTTAATAAATTTAAATATTAAAAGTATAAATATGTCTATTAATCACTGTTGATAGCTGGTGGACATATTGATATACATTTCTGTCAAATCCAAGTATCAGGTTAACCTCTAGATCTATTAGACCTTATTTCTTCAACCTGAATGAATGAAGCTCACATTAAATTTCACATGTCAGAGCTACATTTGTACATGCAATAACTTTGCTTGTGTACAGATGAATCAATAGCAAGTCACAAGGGTGCCCTTAATTTCAGAGTTAGTGAATTACTCATCAAAAGTTCATGGTTTGCAAAAAATTGAGACAGAAAAAGTGCAGCAAAAATAAAACCTTGCATTTCAATTTTTGATAGCATTATGTATATACTGCATTTCCTGAAATAATAAATGCATGAAAACAAATTCTGAATTTACAGTCATTCAAATCATTATCTTTGAAAAGAATTTGTATATTGATGAAGACTGTTGAGCTCCAGATGTATTTTTGGTTATTTTTGTCATTGAGTTGATGTCTCATTGACATATACTACATCTCCTTTTTATAAAAGGTTTTTGCTCATCAGTGAAAAATATGTTTTTCACATTTTTCAAGTTCAATATTATTAGCAAATAATAAAAGCTAACTGAACTGATCCGTCACAGAAAATATACCACAGATTCCAATGGCTATGTTACTATATACATGTATATCCACAGTTTTGAATTGTATAAAGAACTCCGTATCTTAACTTCACTTAATTTTTTAGCAAATACAAATCTATATTTTTTTTTACACATGTAACTTCTTCCGGCTAAATCAATATTTTTTATCTGCTTCTGTAGACCAGAATTTTATTTCATTTTTACTGCTTGGTTTTTCTTTTATTTTACCATTGTATCAGACCAGCAGAAGGAAGATGCCATTCTTATTTGCAAAGTTTTGAATATATTAACTCATACAGGACAATTCTGCATACACAATCAAGAAGTTTCAACAATGTTTGACAATGTGTTTCTCAGTACACCCTAACCATAGTTTCCTAAATTTAATATCATTCATGTCATAGTATTACTGTGATAATGCATTGATTAATAATACATATTTATGTTTATATCATATACTATTACTATATGTAACCAGATGGTCTATAACATATATCATAATATCACCTATATCTCTGATCATAAAATAATAATCAATAATAGTTTATAACATGTAGGTAAACCATTATATGATGTAGATAATAAAAGCATTTGAGAACCTCCTTGTAATTCAATTGACATAAACTTGAAAGATAAATAATCATTGGGTAAAATAAGATTTCTATGATGTAGATAAACATGTATGTGTTACATCTAAAAATAATGAAAACCTTGCAACAAAATTAATGTCATGATGAAATGTTACACCTTTGTTTTTATTTAGGACTTCTCAGACTGTGAATCAAAAAGTCAGTGTAACATAATTTAACCCATGTTATTTTTCTTGTTTTTAGTCAGTTTAAAAAGAGAGCCAATGTAATTTACTGTTCATGCTGGTACAATGTACATTGTGTAAATAAGATTCTGTCAATGTGAATGTCTGAACCAATGTACATGTAATTTACTGGTCATGGTGGTACAATTTATACTGTGCATGTAGATTTCTATCAGTGTGATAATTGAACCAATGTTATTTACTGATCATGTTGGTACCATGTATGTAGGTTTGCATCAGTGTGAATGTCTGAACTGATGTAATTTACTGATCATGCTGGTACCCTGTATGTAGGTTTGCATCAGTGTGAATGTCTGAACCGATGTAATTTACTGATCATGCTGGTACCATGTATGTAGGTTTGAGTCAGTGTGAATGTCTGAACCGATGTAATTTACTGTTCATGCTGGTACCATGTATGTAGGTTTGTGTCAGTGTGAATGTCTGAACCAATGTAATTTACTGGTCATGCTAGTACAATGTACAGTGTGTATTTGGATTTCTGTCAGTGTGGTAATTGAACCAATGTATTTATCTGGTCATGCTGGTACAATGTATATTGTTTGTATAGGTTTCTGTCAGTATGAATGATAATAAAATGCTCCGCTGGGCGCAGCTTGATACGACCGCAGAGGTTGAACCCTGGACAGTTGGGGCAAGTATGGACACAACATTCAAGCTTGATACAGCACTGAATTTGGATTGTGATTAAATATTTGACACAGCATAGGTTTCTGACACAGAATGAATGTGGTCTAAGAACTTAAAAAATTTTAATTTACCTTTTCAAACCATATCATTATTATTTGCTTTTATATATAAATCAGAAATAACCAATTTAAAATGGAAAATTTTAAAGAAAAAAAAAAAGGAAAAAAAGGAAAAAAAAATCCCCCCCCAAAATTTTTTTTGAATCCCCTTATGATTCATCACCCCCAAACTCAATCCCAGCCTTCCCTTTGTGGTATGGTACCTTGCAGTACAATTTCAGAGAGATCCATACACTTGAACACAAGTTATTGTCTGGAAACTAGAAAAAATGCTTGTTTTTTTCGCCCCTTTTTGGCCCCAAATTCCTAAACGTTTAGGGCAATTACCCCAAAACTCAAACCCAGCTTTCCCTTTGTGATATGGAACCCTGTAGTACAATTTCATAAAGATCCATACACTTACACACAAGTTATTGTCCTGAAACTAGAAAAATGCTTGTTTTTGCCCCTTTTTGGCTCCTAATTCCTAAAATTTTGAGGCAATTTCCCCCAAAATCAATCCCAGCCTTCCCTTTGTGGTATGGTACCTTGCAGTACAATTTCAGAGAGATCCATACACTTGAGAAACTAGAAAAATGCTTGTTTTTTGCCCCTTTTTTGCCCCTAATTCCTAAAATTTTGAGGCAATTACCCCCAAAATCAATCCCAGCATTCCCTTTGTGATATGGAACCTTGTGGTACAATGTCAGAGAGATCCATACACTAACACACAAATTATGTCTGGAAGTTACAAAAATGCTTATTTTTGGCCCCTAATTCCTTAACTGTTAATACCATAACCCCCAAAATCAATCCCAACCTTCCTTTTGTTGTATTGAACCTTATGGTAAAATTTCATAGAGATCCATTCACTTAAACTAAAGTTAGAGTGCGAAAACCAATGTGTCTTCGGACGACGACAACGACGCCGACGATGCCAACGTCATACCAATATACGACAACAAATATAAATAAAATGCTTCGCTGGGGCGCAGCTTGATATGACCGCAGAGGTCGAACCCTGAACAGTTGGGGCAAGTATGGACACAACATTCAAGCTTGATACAGCTCTGAATTTGGATTGTTATAATAAATATTTGACACAGCATAGGTTTCTGACACAGAAAGAATGTGGTCTAAAAACTTGAATTTTTTTAATTTACCTATTATGGTCCAATGTCCAAAATCAAAATACATGGTTAGATTCAGCATATCAAAGAACCCCATATTTTCAATTTTTGTTGAAATCAAACAAAGTTTTATTTTGGACCCCAACTTGGACAAACTTGAAAACTGGGCCCATAATCAAAAATCTAAACACATGTTTAGATTCAGCATATCAAAGAACCCCAATAATTCAATTTTTGCTAAAATCAAACTAAGTTTAATTTTGGACCCTTTGGACCTTAATGTAGACCAATTTAAAAAACGGGACTTAAAATTAAAAATCTAAAAACACGGTTAGATTTAGAATATCAAAGAACCCCAATAATTCAATTTTTGATGAAATCAAACAAAGTTTAATTTTGGACCCTTTTGACCTCAATGTGGACAAAGTTGATAACGGGGCCCAAAAATCAAAAATCTAAATACATGGTTAGATTCAGCATATCAAAGAACCCCATATATTCAATTTTTGTTGAAATCAAACAAAGTTTAATTTTGGACCCCGATTTGGACCAACTTGAAAACTGGGCCCATAATCAAAAATCTAAATACATGTTTAGATTCAGCATATCAAAGAACCCTAAGAATTCAATTTTTGTTAAAATCAAACTAAGTTTAATTTTGGACCCTTTGGACCTTAATGTAGACCAATTTGAAAACGGAACCAAAATTTAAGAATCTAAATACACAGTTAGATTCGGCATATCAAAGAACCCCAATAATTCAATTTTTGATGAAATCAAACAAAGTTTAATTTTGGACCCTTTGGACCTCAATGTGGACCAATTTAAAAACGGGGCCCAAAATCCAAAAACTAAATACACGGTTAGATTCAGCATATTAAAGAACCCCATGAAATCAAGAATAAAACCCCATTGAAATTGGTCAAGAAATAAGCAATTTATAGGAAGTATCTTCTTTTGCACAATCCTGTGCTATTAAATATTTCTTGCTATTGCGCAATACTGTACAATTGACAATTTCTTGCTATTGCGCAATATTGTGCTATTGGATATTTCTTGCTATTGCGTAATACTGTGCAATTGAAGATTTCTTGCTATTGCGCAATACTGTGCAATTGAAGATTTCTTGCTATTGTGCAATATTGTGCAATTGAAAATTTCTTGCTATTGCACAATACTTATTATATAATAATTTACACATCCTGTTTGGTGTGTATCTCCTACCATATCATTATTATTTGATTTTAAATATAAATCAGAAATAACCAACTTAAAATGGAAAATTTTAAAAGAAACAAAAAAGGAAAAAAAGAAAAAAAGGAAAAAAAAATAAATCCCCCCCCAAAATTTTTTGAACCCCCATTATGATTCATCACCCCCAAACTCAATCCCAGCCTTCCCTTTGTGGTATGGTACCTTGCAGTACAATTTCAGAGAGATCCATACACTTGAACACAAGTTATTGTCTGGAAACTAGAAAAAAATGTGTTTTTTGGCCCCTTTTTGGCCCCAAATTCCTAAATGTTTAGGGCAATTACCCCCAAACTCAAACCCAGCTTTCCCTTTGTGATATGGAACCTTGTAGTACAATTTCAGAAAGATCCATACACTTACACACAAGTTATTGTCATGAAACTAGAAAAATGCTTGTTTTTTGCCCCTTTTTTGGCCCCTAATTCCTAAAATTTGGAGGCAAATACCCCCAAAATCAATCCCAGCATTCCTTTAGTGATATGGAACCTTGTGGTACAATGTCAGAGAGATCCATACACTAACACACAAGTTATGTCTGGAAGTTACAAAAATGCTTATTTTTGGCCCCTAATTCCTTTACTGTTATTACCATAACCCCCAAAATCAATCCCAACCTTCCTTTTGTGGTATTGAACCTTGTGGTAAAATTTCATAAAGTTCCATTCACTTAAACTAAAGTTAGAGTGCGAAAACCAAGTGTCTTCGGACGACGCCGGACGACGACGACGACGACGACGACGCCAACGTCATACCAATATACGACCACAAAAATTTTTTTGCGGTCGTATAAAAATGGGACCCAAATTAAAAATCTAAAAACACGGTTAGATTTGGCATATCAAAGAACCCCAATAATTCAATTTTTGATGAAATCAAACAAAGTTTAATTTTAGACCCTTTTGACCTCAATATGAACCAATTTGATAGCGGGGCCCACAAATAAAAAATCTAAATACATGGTTCGATTCAGCATATCAAAGAACCTCATATATTCAATTTTTGTTGAAATCAAACAAAGTTTAATTTTGGACCCCAATTTGGACCAACTTGAAAACTGGGCCCATAATCAAAATTCTAAATACATGTTTAGATTCACCATATATTCAATTTTTGTTGAAATCAAACAAAGTTTAAATACTGGACCCCATCTTGGACCAACTTGAAAACTGGGCCCATAATCAAAAATCTAAACACATGTTTAGATTTAGCATATCATAGAACCCTTTTGACCTCAATATGAACCAATTTGATAGCGGGGCCCACAAATAAAAAAATCTAAATACATGGTTAGATTCAGCATATCAAAGAACCTCATATATTCAATTTTTGTTGAAATCAAACAAAGTTTAATTTTGGACCCCAATTTGGACCAACTTGAAAACTGGGCCCATAATCAAAAATCTAAATACATGTTTAGATTCAGCATATCAAAGAACCCCATATATTCAATTTTTGTTGAAATCAAACAAAGTTTAAATACTGGACCCTATCTTGGACCAACTTGAAAACTGGGCCCATAATCAAAAATCTAAACACATGTTTAGATTCAGCATATCAAAGAACCCCAAGAATTCAATTTTTGTTAAAATCAAACTAAGTTTAATTTTGGACCCTTTGGACCTTAATGTAGACCAATTTAAAAAACAGGACCCAAAATTAAAAATCTAAATACACGGTTAGATTTGGAATATCAAAGAACCCCAATAATTCAATTTTAGATGAAATCAAACAAAGTTTAATTTTGGACCCTTTTGACCTCAATATGAACCAATTTGATAACGGGGTCCACAAATAAAAAATCTAAATACATGGTTAGATTCAGCATATCAAAGAACCCCATATATTCAATTTTTGTTGAAATCAAACAAACTTTAATTTTGGACCCCAATTTTGACCAACTTGAAAACTGGGCCAAAAATCAAAAATCTAAATACATGTTTAGATTCAGCATATCAAAGAACCTCATATATTCAATTTTTGCTAAAATCAAACAAAGTTTAATTTTGGACCCTTTGGACCTTAATGTAGACCAATTTGAAAACTGGACCCAAAATTAAAAATCTAAATACACTGTTAGATTCGGCATAACAAATAAATAAATGTGATCAAAGATTTTACAAATCTAATGCGCAATACTGTGCAATTAAAGATTACTTCTTGAAATTTTTCAATATTTGAAATTTGAAAAAAAAATAATATTTGAAGAATAATTCTTTTTAATTTCTGAAATCTGAAATGAGAAAAAATTGACCCCCCACAATTTCTTTTTATCCCCCCCCCCTTTTTTCCCCAAAAAAATTCTTTCCCTCAAGATATGGTCATAATCTCAATTCAAATTTCCAATGGAGTTGGCAACCATAATTACCCATTTAAATTTACCATAGTGCTAACTTAATCTATTTTATAATAGAATTAAAAATATAGTGTCAAATCTTTCATATGGATTTTTTTGTAAAAAAAAAAGATGTAACATTTGGAGATATTTTTACTGGTCTTCCTTTATAAATATGTATTTCTTTAAACATAATTTAAAAGCAGTGTAAGGGAAGTAACCAAAACGTTGTATTTGGATTACCTCCCTTACACTGTTTTAAATTATCTTTATTGTTCATTAACCATTACTTTATACATAATTTAAAAGCAGTGTAAGGGAGATAATTTCAATGATGTATTTGATTTATCTGCCTTACACTGCTTTAAATTATGTTTTGTACTAAAGTATTTGTCCATTAACCAGGACAACCTTGTTTTTCCCCCTTTTTTGCCCCTAATTCCTAAACGGTTTGAGCATTAACCCCCCAAAGCAAATCCTAACCATCCCTTTGTGGTATGGAAACTTGTAGTATAATTTCAGAGAGATCCATACACCGTTCCACAGTTATTGTCTGGAAACTAGAAAATGCTTATTTTTGGCCCCTAATTCCTTAACTGTTGGTACCATAACCCCCAAAATCAATCCCAACCTTCCTTTTGTGGTATTTAACCTTATGGTCAAATTTCAAAAAGATCCATTCACTTAAACTAAAGTTAGAGTGCGAAAACCAAGGTGTCTTCGGACGACGACGCCAACGTCATACCAATATACGACCACAAAATTTTTTTGCGGTCGTATAAAAACCAATGCATTCTACTGGTCATGCCAGTATAAAATATATATATATATATAATATCTTTTAAGGTCAGTGTAAATGACTTAAGTCATTGATTATACTGGTATAATGTATGGTTTATAGTTTAATGTTGGTGTAAATGTCTAAAGAAATGGACTCTTCTGGTAAAATGTATATACAATATAGTTGAAGGTCAGTGTAAAAACTCCATCAACTAACTGATGAATGTACTTACAGTTACTATTTCTAGCATTTCTTGGCGTGATATATATCCATTTCCATCTAAATCATACATGCTAAAGGCCCATTTCAACTTTTGTTCAAGTTTTCCCCGAGATGTTACACTTAAAGCACAGATAAATTCTCGGAAGTCTATTGTACCATCACCGTTTGTATCAAAAGTTCGAAACACATGTTCCGCAAATTTGGATGCATCACCATATGGAAAAAAATTGCCATAGATTTTCTTGAATTCCTCAACAGATAAATGACCATTTGGACAGTCCTTGAGAAATCCTTTGTACCATTCTTGTAGTTCTTCTTCACAAAATTCTGTATTTTGTTTCAAATCTTGAAGTACTTCTGGTTTGAGCTTGCTGCTCTGTTTTCCCATTTCTATCAGCTAATTGCCTGGAAAAAGACCACACGATTATTAAATTCCTTAAAACATCACAAGAGATCTATTAGAAATGACAACTAAATTAAACAAGGTTGTAATCTGATTAAACTGGCATTCACATGTTAGCTTGATATAGATTCTGAGTGTCACCACAGAAAATCCTTTTTATGCAGTTTTGTGCAACAGTAATTATTCTCCGATCACTCCAATCTCCCTTTGATATACTTTAGTAGCGTCATGTGTTACAATGTCGTGAGGTAGGAAAACATTCATGAACAAGCATATAATCAAATATTGATTCGGATCAGTTTATTTCCAGTTATTGCCCTGGATTTATACTAGGCTGAACAGTATTACAGAATAATTTTCAATAAACTTGCAATGATTTAATTACCAAGGAAATTAGCCTGATACTTAAAAGTAATTTTCAGGCAATTCTACGAAGATGAGACTACCATTATAGTCCTTCTGATCTAACATACATTTCCTATCAGAAATACTTCAGTCAAGCAATATAATAACAGAATATAACACTTCAATCAAACTTTGTATAAAGGTATCATTACATTTGAAAAATCAGGAAAAACCCAATGAAAGTAGTAAATTATGGTAGTTTATTACAACTCCCCATACAAATTATGTCTACTGTATTAAACTTTTTTTTAAACCATTTGTATGTACAACATGTAGTTCATACATGCAAAAAATACACTATTCAGCTGGATGTAACTTTAGTACTAGCCAACATATTAAACAATGATCGATCGCGACTCTTATACTAAAATGAAACTTTTTAAAGTATAACAAGCACTTTTTTAATCCAGGGATCAGTACTTTACACATGCAATTCAATTAAGGTGGTACCCAACACTTTGACTAAAATATGTTTGGCTTGTTTAATTTTCATAAAATTTTGACAAAATATTTACTTTGACCTGTTGACAAAAATTTTAAAATTTCAAACAAATTTGAACCACAAAATTTAGAGGAATAGTTTCATTGGATATATAGCAGTTCGACAAACACTTATTTTGAGCATTGAGAGTAGCTGATTTTTAAAGAATTAACTCCCTTAAGTGTTCTGTACCCCTTAAGACGGCAATGTAAAAAGGTACATTTTTAGTTGACAAGCAAATCAGAAAAGCAAATACATCTTACCGGTATCTTAAATATCAAAAGGTTATGTTAAAAAAAATTAAAAGCAAACATACAATTGGGACTTATTTGGTAACAGTGTACATTTCATGTCATTGTTGAGGGACAACTGCTGACCTTTTAATATCAATTGTTTTTGGTACCTTTGGTTTTCTTAGCTTGTCTCATTGAAGATAATATTACACAATATCACCCATAATTCAAATTATATAAGATAAAATCAATTTACCTTGTTGTTTGAAATCTTTAAATTTCTTGTTTTGCAGATAATCAATGGTCAAACTGATCATCAAAAAATGGTCAGCCTACAGATTTGATGTTGGAATTAATCAATTATTGATGGTATTTGTGTAAGAAATGCTCTCAAGCTAATTTTTGCCACCAATTTTGTCAGGAGAAATATTGACTTTGAAACATTGATCTTCTAGTGTCTTTTTCAATTAACATACATGTATGTGTATCAAAATTGCTTAAACCCCAAGGGTCACACCTGGGTGACTAAGGGAATAAAATATATCAGACTGGCAGTATAACCCTTGCCAAAGTGGGGCATCTTTTTGGATAATCGAGGTTGAATAAGTATGCAGCCACATGCAGTCAGAAAGGGGACGCTAAATCAAAAGCTTCATGTAGAGAGTTCCACGGTCTCTGCACATTAAGAACCTTTGCAACAATTCTTTGGGGGATCCGTGGATGGCCTGTTACAAGTCAAAATAATCCTTTTTGAAACAAAACAAAATTAATATGTACAATAATTTTTTTTTTAAAACTAACTGGATGCTCAATTTATAGTATTCTTTGAAGTCAGTACTATCATGACTGAAAAGACCTCAATGTACAATGACCATACAAACAAACTTGCTTAGAGACTGAGTATCCAAGAAAAAGATGTTCAAGTATTATGGCATAAGAGAGAGGAGAAACTATAGATTTCATTTATCATTAATGTAACTCATTTAGATCACAATTTAGTGCTATAATGTTCTAGGACATAGTTTTCCAATCTAATATCAGAGGTTATAAACTAAAGCTATACAAGTGCTTATTGACCTTTCATTCTGTTGAAAAAGAGGGATTAAATACAATAGCAAGCTACTAGGCATCCATTTGAATCCTGCAAGCTTTGTAATGATCAATCAATCAGATTAAATATTTTTACACAAACTGAAAAAAAAGAAAATAATTCTACAATTTAAATCTTTTGTTGAAAGAATAGACTTAGATTAGATGTTTATACCAATAAATCGGTACTGTAACTGTAACCACGACTAAGATCACATGTTATAAGTATATTGATCGTGCTTTATGCCTTTCCATCATTAAGCCACATCAATTTGTCTTTAATTTCTCCCAAACTAAATTGTGTTGAAATTGTTCAAGTTGTTTCTCAAAGATAAATCCTGATTGAGTGCTTTAATAGGGAACAGTGTGACAATAATTATCTACAGAGGGTGACACTCGCTGCATCAGTTAGACCCCTGTGCTATATTATCTCTATATAAAGCTAAGAGCTAGTGTAATTTTTCCATTCAAACAATTTCTTTCATGTAAGTTAGCAGTGATAAAAATAAGGAGATGTGGTATGATTGCAAATGAGATAACTATTCACCAATAGACCAAAGATCTATGGACAAGAATGTCAACAACTACAGGTCAGGTCTTTTACATTAAAAAAATCCCAAATTGTATAATAGACCATACAAGCCCAGATTAAGCAAAATGTAAACAAGTCAAAATAAAAAACATAAAACATAATTTAAGCTTACAATGTATTAACAATATTGTCATGTTGACTTGAATGACACCATTGTTTGTCAACGAATTGATTAAATATGATATGTGTATAATACTTTATTCACAGTTACAAAATATGTAAGACAATGAAATATAAACCTGATATTTTATTTTAGTTTATAACTGATATCCACTTACTGTATATATACTGTATATATACACATAAACTGTTGTCACAAAGATATGTCTCGCCTTTTTGTAATTTTGAGAGTAAAATGCAAAATAGCAATACTTTACCATGTAAGTTATGCAAAATATTCAGTGAATGAACCATGACTGAACGTATGGGGTCTAACAATCTCAATGGAAATAAGATGTGCCAATGCTAATACAACTCCATACCAAATGTTATTGACCTACCACTAGTGGTTTGCCATAAACTGACCTAATCACAAACTAATACATGTAAAAGTTTCAAAGTCCCTGACTGAAGGGGCGGGACAAAATAATCTCCATGAAAATGGAAACAGCATACCTATGTCTCACTATTTGACTCCCTTAAGGCGAGACAATAAAATGGGATAACAGGAATTCACAACAATATCAGGGGAAAATATACATACAGACAACACATGGCTGTAACATGTAACATCGAGGTGGATTTAGGGGGAGGGGCCCTTCTGGAGCTACATATATGGTAACTGCTGTCTACATAGACTTTTTACAAGTCCCACTCCAAATGTTGCCCTTGTGTGGATCACAATAAGCTCTGTTCATATAACTCTATAAACACTGTAATTAGGAAAAGTCCTTGTTTTTGATAAATAAAAGAGGCATGCAGAATATACATAAATTTGATTTCCCCAACACAATGCCCCAAAAAAGACATCTTTTAACTTCATGTCAAATCTTGAATTTAATGTCATGTCCATTGTGTACAGGAATTCCTGTATTTTAACACTAAGCGCATATCAATCTGCTAAAACCACACAATCCAATTCCATTAACACAGTATAAGAGATCATTAAACTCTATTAATATTCTTACTCAACCTATAAACCCCTTGCCAATGCCACAAAATATACACCAGTATATTCACTATATTGTATATATATATATGTATCTATATACTAGTGAATCCTAATTATTTTCAAAAGATTATACTCTAAATCCCAGACTCATTAAAACCTAATCTATAGTTTCTTTATGAAATTAACTCTTTTTAACTTGATTACATTTACCTAATTAATCAAAATAGAATGATTTTTATGAGTTAGAAATTGCAAACTCCACAGTACTAGTCCAAAAATATATCCCAAATTCAGAAAGATTGAACCAATCACTCTTACAAATTTAGCCAATACACATCCATACCCCTATGGACAAGTCAAGAGATGTTCCGAAAACTGTAAATATCACCTTTTTGCACATGGCCTAATCACTCTTTCCATATCAAAATCAGTTAAAATACAACTACCAAAAGTTTATTTCACCTCTCTTCTTTCATTTCCACCCCAAAAAAACTAAGAAATGAGTGAGGAAGGGAAAGAAAAAAAATTAAGAAAAAATACACTCTAATTAAAAGGAACTATATTCGTGGACAATGAAAAGCGGGGTCATTAATAGTGGTCTTGAGCCATATTACAACAAAGAAACAAGGAATTATTTGAATCTAGAATCATTTTGAATTCTGGATAAGAAAAAATTTAACCAATCTAAAGAAGGTTAGCCATTTGCACATGGCTAAGGCTAATTTTACTTTTACTGATATTTCAGTATGAACTAACTAACTAAATTGGGTTAGTTTTCATCATACATTTCTAAACAATTTTTCAGAATTCTAAATTATTCCAGATTCAAATAATTCCTTGTTAAGATTTCAGTCTTAAAACATGTCTGATGAGGAAAATGAAAAGGAGAAAAAATATGACAGTACATGATTGATGATTGTTTAAGGTCACATTATTGATGATTGTTTATAAAGGTCACATTATTGATGATTGTTCATAAAGGTCACATTATTGCAGGCTATTTCACAGTCAGTGTGACATTACACAACTTGCAATTGTTGATATTGACGTCAATACTAAACAGCTTTGCCATAACAATAAAAGCGAAACAA